CAAACAAATTTGTAACGTTAATGTATGCATTTATTTTTATTTGAATTTTTCTAACATTGGTTTGACTAATAAATATGTATCTATGTTATATAAGAAATAAATAAATCTCATAACTTTTACCATACGTGTATATATATATATATATATAGTACATACATAAATGTATAATGAATAATTGTATGTAAATCGAACAAACAGATTTACTATAAAATTGTTGATCTACGGTATTGCTTGATTGAATTTTACTGTAAAGATTATCTTTTTGGGTTCTATATTTCTGGTTTATCGGATTTGCTTGAGTTCTATAAGGTTCAGTTGCTTACAGTTAATTGGAGTTACTCTTCTTACAGTGACTTTGATGGAGCTTGCATATGACAATGAAGGATTGTTTATGATTTACTGCACAATTTCTCAAAATATATACATATACTGTATTTGCTTGAATAATGATTAATGACAATTATATTCCTTTGTAACATTACTGTATTTTCATACCCATGTATACATACAGTATTGGACATATCTATAGCACACCCTTTCAAAGCGATATTGTTTGCCACTTATGTTTAATTATTTGTTTTTAAGAATTTTCAATTTAAATACAGTTCATTCTCCAACAAAACCCATATAAACCAATGTTTTAAACTTTTTAAAAGACCGCAAAAAAGTGCAACAAACTTTCCCTTAAATTTCAAACTTTTTTCTCAGAAGCTCTAGAATTTTTTTGAGTACACAGTTTTATAGCGCATTCAATTTTGTCCAATAATGTGCAAGTTTCAAGTCGCTAAAGATTACCGTTGATTTTTTAGATTTTTTTTTTGTCTCATTTGCTTCCATATATGGACTAAACACAATTTATTTTTATATGGCAGAAACCCGCAACATCCTCGGCGAAAAAAATTCTAAAAAATCAACGGTAATTTATAGCCACTTGAAACTTGCACATTATTAGGCTAAAATTGAATGGGCTATAAAACTGTGTATTCAAAAAAATTCTACCGCTTCTGAGAAAAATGTTTGAAATTTGGGTGAAAATTTGTTGCACTTTTTTGCGGTCTTTTTAAAAGTTTTAAGCTTGAGTTTATGTGAGTTTTGTGACAGAATGAACTGTATTTTAATTGAAAATTCTTAAAAATAAAGAAATAAACATGAGTGGCAAACAATATCACTTTGAAATGGGGGTGCTATTGTATTGGCCAATACTGTATGTATATCTTTCAAAGGTTAGTACGTATGTTATTTGGTCAAACTGTATGTGCCGAAACTGTAAGTAAGTAGCTTTTGTAAGTTCTGAAATAAATTAAATTTAATTTACAAAATATTTTACTTTTGCTCAGATAATCGCGTTTTTGCAGTTTTGGTGTCATTTCATATTCAACTTTCTTCTTTACACTTACGGAAAAATTTGTAAGCGTAATGTAAATAGTATGGGCTGTGATCAAAATTTTTACATACTGTATGTATGTATGTATGCTTGTATTATGTTATTTTTCATTATTGACTATAGTATCTAATATTTACATATTTAGTACATATATATGTAAACATTATTGGTGTTTAGTAAAATGTAGAATAATATTTTATTTGCGTAACTTTAAGATTGTCAAATCTAATCACATTTAGAATCTATAAACATTTACTGTTCTTACAAATTGTTATTATTTTTTTTTTTTTAAGTAAAACGCCGCTCCGCTATCGCTAATCTTGCTAATGGGGATCAGTGTTGGCACTTACTACGATTTTACAAAAAAAAAAAAAATAGAAAAAATCTACTACCCCTATATGCTTTACTTTGAACTTTTCCATGAAATGAGAGAACAAGTTAGTAAGAATGAATTTAGTACAAATTTATTTATTTTTAGAGCTTCATATTTTTGTAAAGAAAAAACGCAGACACAAAAAATATAGAAAATGTTACTAGTTCACAAAATTCTTAAATTATTTAATTTTTAATGTTTAATGTTAATTAGCTTTGTGTTTATGAAGGATTTGCTTTAGTAAAATTTTGTCGTAAGCGTTATTTGTCCACAATTTGGCAGCCACTTTGTATGAAATACGACAAAATGTGATAAAAATTTCTACCAAATTAAAGACACTTTACTCAATATCTCGGAAACTAAAGGAGATATCCAAAAATGGAGAACGCCTTTTTTAAGATATTGATTAGATTAATATGGCTGCATCACTAACTAAATTTTTACTAAATTATAGAAAAAATTGTAGTCAATATCTCCGAAACTAAAGGAGATAACTGCAAACACCAATCGAAAGACCTTATTTTAAAAATTTATAACTGCATCTAGAACTAAAAATCGTCGAAATTGCGCTTACGACAATCTTTTACCCAGGCGACGATATCGAGCCCTAACCGCCAAAATAACGTAAGCGACATTTTTTTCAAAATTTTCTTTTTGATGCAGAAATGCATCTAGATGCTCTAGGAATATTTCTGCATCAAAAATAAAATTTTGAAAAAAATGTCGCTTACGTTATTTTGGCGGTTAGGGGTCGATATGTATGTATGTATATACTATACATACGTAGGAAACCATGAGTACTGTTCGATTCGCTGCTTACTTAGAAGAAATACACTAAATTTTGTGATTTGTTTAAAAAATATAAGGTTTTTATGCTAAAAAGTTTAAGGTAAATGTTAAAAAAATTAAGTTTATCAGCTTGACATGCGATGCGTAGGAAGAAACAGGACACTCAAATTTGTCAAACTTTATATATACGTTGCAGTCTTTTTATAGAAAGTTGGTTATGCATCAAACTTATAAGAAAAGAAAAATTTGAGTACGCTTTCGCGATTACGTAGTTAACATGGTTGTTAAATGAAAGTCTCGAGTCGAGTATAACCCCAAGGTCCTTAATTTCGCAGACATTACTGAGAACACTTAGATGGGCTCTCTTCATACGTGCTCAAGAAATGCGGTGCGTCATTTTGCGTACCACTAAAATATATTTTTAATCTTTCGCTGGCCTCGGATGTTTTTATTAATCGTTGGAAAATTGCCTCGATCTCCCCAATCTTTAAATCTGGTAACAAAAATGATGTTACAAACTACAGACCTATATCTAAACTTTCGACTTGCTCGAAACTTTTTGAGAAAGTGGTCAAAGAAAAACTATTCTTTGCCATCAAAGGTTCCATTAATCCGTGCCAGCATGAAATTGGCCCTTAGGGCCGTTTTCTCAAGTAACCTGTTACTTTAAAGCTCACTTTATATTTAAAGGTTGGATTGAAAGTAAAGCTATGTCTAAAGTTAGGCATTTCTATTAACGGTTTATGACGTATGTATGTTTCTTCTTAGTTGTAAACCAATTTAAAACGGATAATAAAATGCTTTACTTTAGACACACGGATAAGTTTTAATGCAAATAAAGTGAGCTTTAAAGATACAGGTTACTTGAAAAAACCGCCCTTATACAAATAACTAACAAATTGAATGTCAAACGTATAAAAGAAAAGAAAATTTCTCTGCTACGGTTTTTTCATTTGTACTATGCTTCCTCTATTTGTAGTAAATTCGTCCATTGTGGTGCCAACACTGACGAGGATGCATATCGTTACCAAAATACACATGTAGGAGTTTAAACTTGAGTTTCTGATGATTTTATAACTTTTAAATTTTAGCTGATTAATGAACAATATAGATCAGATGATTTGTACATTTTAGTAATGTAAGGTATATTTAGTTATATAGTGTATGTATGTGCATATCTACGTTTAACGCTCAGATAGTATTTGGTACATTTTAGGTATAAAAGGGTCTGGAAATTTCTATATTTACTTACAAATAGATTAGGTAAAACCGATTGAACTGCGTTTTATTTAATTCGCATACAGTATTATTATGTTTTTTTTTTTTTTTTGCTTCAGAACTCCCGACGTTATCAAGATTCGTTGGGCGTCCAATATAACGAATTTCAATGGGCAACTCGTATTGGGCTCACTTTCGGAACTTACTTAATGTGGAAAAAGATATCCGAAAAATTGCTATTTTAATCAGCAGAGGATAAATGTAGAATGTTTTCTTCACAAATGAAGTTTTTATAGAAAACTATATAGCTGGTTTTCTAAAAGCTGGAAATAAACTGTTGTGTTATATTAAACAGCGTGATATAAGTCCTGATAGTTCCAATTATCTTGCCTATAAAGAACTTACTGTAGGCTAAGGTATGAGAATCTTTAGTTATGCTTCTTTCTTTGGTTCCAGCAGAAACTGGTAGATAGAAATGGGAATTTCACCCTCAGGAAGAGCTGATGCAATGAAACTTAAGAAAAGCAAACTTCAAGAAATTAGTAACAAATTTAAGCAACTTAGCATTTATGGAGGTGGCATGTAATTTTAAATTTACACTGATGCACAAAAATGACCATAATAAAAGTTAAATTAGATTGAAAGTATTAAACATTTTGTATCTACAACTAACCTATAACTAATCAACATTATTAAAATAATTCAGTCACCCTCAGTTTTTCTTGCAACATAATTTAAATGAAATTTAATGAAATACGCTTGATTACTGGTTTCACCAACAATTTAAATGGAAAATGATTTTTTATTTTCTGTCTATTTCCATATAAATTTCAAAAAATTAAAATCATTTTTCACTTAAATTACTTTCGTGAAATTGGCTGTTAATGAAGTAAAATAAATAATCTTTGAATTTTATTTAGGATTTTCGGGAATATTTGGCATTTGGCCAGAAAACATATTTGGACTCCATTTGCCCTGCTACCATTTTTTCTATGCTAGATATATCCTGTTGGAACCGCTCGCAGTGTTTGTCGCTAATGACACCCAAATTATTAGCAACAAATTTAATTGTGGGTGTAAACAGTTTATCTTGAGCGACATATTGGATCCCGTATCCTTGTAGGCTGTTAAAAGGTTGCTGACCAACTCTTCATAGTTTTCGGCTTCGTGGTTTCGACGAAAATTACGAACAACATTTCGAAAACATTTCCATGCGGATTTTTCGATCGGATTAAGTTTTTCTTCAAACTGTTCTTAAGTCAATAGGTCTCTAATTTGTGACCCTACGAGTTTCCCTCTTTTATTTTGACATCGGTGATTTTTGGGAATTTATTTTTATTTTGTTCTTTTGCTTTTTTGACTTTTAACAGTTAGTTGATCGCAAATATAACGAAGTTAACAGGATGATTTATACACACTCTGGGCATCTTCTTGGGATGTATAGAAACAACAATAACAAAAAATACCGTTTTAATGTCAATAATAATTTAACGTTAATTAAGGAAAACTGAGAGAAATTGAATAAAACTAAGTATGGGGTTTATATGCGGTTAGGTAGTAGTATCTAAAAAATTAAACTTAATTTTGTAAAAGTAGTATGATGAAGCAAAGCTTTATAACGGTTACTCTGTGATCAGGTACAATCACAAATTACAGATTTACTTTTTTAAAAAATATTAAATTTTTTGGGCGCACTGTCTGGCAGCACCGATGATAATGAAATGCACTAAAGGAATCGCGGAGTACCTGTTTGTTGTTTCCGATTCGTTATATTGGAACCTGCACATGTGTATCTACGTATAATAGTATACGTACATACATATGTACATATGTACAAGTTTTGCCCGATTTTACTAAGAAATTTGTGCTCTCATTCCAGTAAATCACAATAATTTTTATGTGTACATAATAGTTTACAAATTGTTAGTGAAGATATAAGTACATAGTATGTTAGGCTAAATAGTTTTATATGATTTTACGAAGTAATTTTTAGTTTTAAATACGTGAGTGAATACTGGTATACATAAATGGACGAATTTCGAAATTTACTGTAGATAAAGTAATGAAAGGCTTTTATTTGTTAATATTTTTATATCCCTTCGTATTTAACTTTGGGGTTTGGTGTTTTATACTTTGTCAATGTAAAAGAAAATACACACATAAATAATAGAAAATTTGATTATAAAATTCGTTTTTCGTTTTTTCAAGAAACCATTTTCTTTGGAGTTCACCTTTTGCGGATTTGTTTCCGAGCTTATTGAGTTACAGTTACTCGGAAAACTATAGTTAAAAGAGACTGAAACTCGACATTGTGGAATTAATATACTTGTGTATGTACATGGTCCATTTATATCTAATAGATATCTCTACATAAATAAACATTTCAGTTTATAAGCTAAGTCTTTGCTGTTATCGAAAGATTAAATATCTGGGTTCCCTAAACATTTTTGTTGTCATTGAATGCATGAATGAATTCATTGTTTCGATCAAATTACTATCGTAAACACTGAATGTCTTCATTCTACTTATAGATCTGTAACATCAGTGACCAAGTTCGAATCAATCGATTTCCAAATAAAAGGGGACTTGGTCATTTGAATTACATGACCTAGGTTTTATTTAATTGGACCAGTTTTTTTTAACTGTATTGGTATGTAAATGCTTTATTAAAAGATGTTTTTTTTTTCTATGCCAACTGTAAAATATTATAAAAATAATACAATTCTATATATGTACTTAGTTAGCTTTTTCTGACAAGGATTTGCCACAAAAAAAAAAAAAAACGAAGAGCCTTAAGTTTCCATGTTATAGCGTCAATGTATGTGACAATGCATTTTTTTCTTGTGGGGGAAATTATCGTATGTGCTCAGAAATTAGATTGTAGAGACCTTATAAAAAAAAACCTGTGTCTAGTTGTATTTCTCAATTCAGATGCTTTACCGCTTTGGGTGCAATGACAACGGTCTTTCAATCGGAAGTCTTTGCAATACTGAAAGTGGCAGACTGGATAACTGGCGAAAGGTGGCGCGGACATAAAATTAGGATCTGCAGTGACAGCCAAGCTGCCCTAAAGGCCCTGGAAACCGCTCGAACCTCTTCAAAGGTAGTCCAGGAATGTAAGCGGAGGCTGAACTCCTTTACAAGATGGAATGAGCTTGAACTTGTGTGGGCGCCAGGACACCACAGTGTTCAAGTTAACGAACTGGCTGATGAATTAGCCAATTGCGGTTCTCTGGAGTGCCCAATCGGACCGGAGCCAATTGTAGGGCCAAGCATAGCGGGAACGATCCGGTGCATCAAGGATCTCATAAGTAAAACTCATGAGAGCCGTTGGTACACTATTGACACCTGCAAAACAACCAAGTGTTTCCTGAAAAGGCCTGACAGGGTGGTAGCGAAATTTCTTCTCAGACAAGGAAGGAGTGATCTACGAGCCCTGGTAGCACTGATTACGGGGCACAATCCATGGGGACGGCATATGGTAACCATAGGCATCATCGACGATCCACTGTGTACATTGTGTTTGGAGGACGAGGATAGTACAGAACATTTTCTCTGCCGCTGTCCGGCCTTCGCTAGACTCAGATGGCACATTTTTGGGTCGGATATACTGAGAATGGACGACGTACATTCTCTTTCCCTTAACAAATTGCTAAAATTCATAAAGGTAAGTCTGGTAAGTTTGCAGATGAGTAATGAATTCCCATCCCCACCTACATATCCCTTTCCTCTAAATCCTGTTTTTTGGCCTTAAGTACAATGGGCAATGCTGCTTTAGTGCTTGGAAAAATTTGTTTTTGGTTTTTCCGGCCACCCAAAATTCCATTCCATTCCATTCTACGAAGTACTGTTTGCTCATTTATCTACTTCAATCGTGTCATAATCCAAAAAATACAAATATTGAGTTAAGTATGCAGAAGTTACCGCTACCTCCTCTTCTATGTTGTGTACAAATTTTATAGCTGTAAAGATTACCAGTATCTCACTGGAAAAAAAATATGTATTCGATTTTACTATGGCAGTATATGTAAACTCAAAACTTTTCTCGAGTTTTGCTTTCTTTAGTTATGACATTATTGAAGTCGATGAGCGATATGTATGTATGTATGTATGTAGTTAGAGGAACAACAAATCACACGCTAATTCCGTTACAATACGGCAAGATACAATGAATACACAAAAGCGCGAATTCCACTAATAAAATCTATAATACGTGCTAAGGTAAAATCTATATATGCCTACGATATCAACATAGATCAGTGGTGCACACGGGAGTCTCCGGGAGCTACTCGGCTTTCACATACAATTCGTCTGTGCGCAGCTAGCGAACTGTTGCGACGCTGGCAGCGAATTCGTTTGCGCTTCCCTGCAAAAATTTGAGGATCAACTGGCCCACTGGGTCCTAGTTTTACAGTATTGCAAAAGGACAGGTTCCATACTAGTAACTTGTTATGCTGACCTGGACCACTTCAAACGTAAACAAGTAATTTTTAGCAAAAAAAAAATTAAAAAAAAAAAATATATATATATATATCATGATCCAATGATCAAATCTAAACCAGATTAGTATGGGACCACCTCTAGTTGTTGTCTAGGTGGTCCCATGTTATGCAGCGTTGGACCAGAGGTGGCCAGGTCCAATGTTAATATAACCATATTTTCTCCATATATTTGAACCATTTTGGTTACTGGTGTTGGTCGCAAGGTAGCGTGGTCCTGTAACCTAGTCCCACTTTTTGCAGTGTTGCTAGTGTATGCATACTAAGCCAAAAATGTTGCGCAGGTATTAATCTGTCAACACTGTGCACCACTGACATAGATATACGAATATCATGATTATAATCTTTTATATAACATTCGCGTTATCTTAGAAAAAAAATTATTTTGGCATGGGCATATATATGCATGTATTTATATATATATTTACATTAGACTGTGTCAAATAAAACAATTGTTTTTTTCTTTCGGTCCCATAAGAAAATTTGACTGTTGGGTAACAAAAAAATATATTTGTGGCCAAAATTTCCGCCCTCTATTTCCATTTTTCTGTTAGCGCTCGCAAAAATAAGGATTTTTAAAAATGGAGATAGAGCACGCAAATTTTGCCACAACTATTTTTTTGTGAGGGACAACGAAATTTTCATATGAAACGAAAGAAAACAAGTAATTTTTAAGCAAAAAACAAAACCGACTTCAGTTCGCATATAAAAATTTAAGATTATCGTTAATCTCTTCATGATCCAATGATCGGATGTAAACCAAATTAGAATGGGACCACCTGTGAGGTAACACCTTTCCTTGAAAAAAATAATTATTGAAATCGGTTAACGTAGTTATGCGGTAACATACATAAAAAAAATATATATACATATATTCCGACGAACTGATAACCTCCTTTTTTTGTGAAGTCGGTTAAAAATTAGTCGTTTTATTTGACACAGTCTAATATACATACATACATATAGTAAATAATATGAATACACTTCTAATTTTTGTGTTGTTATGTATGTATATGTAAAATCATTGACTAAATAAATAATAAATTTTTTTCTAAATTATACATAAAATAAGAAATTAATGTGTGTAAAAGTGCAAGAAAACTATGTCGAATGCATTAAATGCGTAAAATGTTGAAATTCGATAATTCGATAAAATATCTATGTCTACGCTTGTATGTATGTACATTTACAAGTATATGTACATATACATATACATGTGTATATAGATAAGATGATAATAAAAATTTGGCTTGAATTTGTATGTATCGGGCAAGGAGTTTTCCAGGATAGTTAGTTGACTCAATCTTACGAGGATGTTAAATGTTGCCTGAATTATTCCAATAGTAACGCTTTTGATATTTGCCCTTTTGAACTTATGGCTTATTGCGTTGCTGTACCTGTCCTTAGGTCTTGCGAGCCGGTTCTATTTTTTTGTGACAGAGCCGTTAGAACCCGCTGATTGTCAATAACACGCAGGCAACTTATGTAGGGGCGTACTTCTGCTTCACTCTTTGGTGATGGTGGCTCAAGGCCTGTAATGAGAAGTGATGCAACGTCGGAAATAATATTATTGTTAGCTACATACATACATACATACATACATACGTTCATATGTAATTTAACACAAAGCCTTACCCAAACTACGTGAACGACAAAAACGAATTGTGCGCATTGTCTGTGCCATCATATGCATCTTCTCGAAATTAACCAGTCCATCCAAGCTCGTTTTGTTTCCCTCGTGAGCGAATGTCATGTCTTTGAGCAAAAGTGGCATAAACGGTATAACAGGTGGCTGTAGTTTGCCAACAAAGACACGGTAAGCACGGTGATTGCGGCTGGGATCGATGAGAGCCTCGAATTCCTGAAACAGTTTTCGAAATTTTGAAGGAATTTTGTCCCACGTTTGACTCAAACGTGAAACTGCCATATTTGAGAGTCCCATAACGACGGCAAAGAAAGCATTTAAATTCTGATATTCCTTGCAGCTACAAAAGCAAAACGGTTCGCTTTATTTTTGCATGTGTGCAAATTTACTAAAATATGTATGTATATAGGTTTGTACATATCGCTCGTTTGCTAGAACTACTATGTGTGCACATTAGGGCGGCTCATTTTTTTTTTAGTAAGCGCATATAGCTTAGGAGGATTCTACGTGTAAAATCAATTTGGAGTTTGTTAAATTGCGAAAATAGGTTTCGACCTGTATTTCAGACGCCCCCAAACAAGAAGATGGAAGAAGAATACTCTTTATTGAACTACGCCATTTGTCAATTGAAAATGATATTACTGCAGATATAAATAAATAATCTCAATAAAAGTTTTCAGCGCTTACGACTGCAATCTCAGCGTTTGTGGATCAAATCGACATATGAAAGTGGCAGTTGGCATAGAAAAACTGTCACCTTCCCCCGTCGTTTGCTCTTTTTTTGGACTCGGAAATTCTTGCGGGGTGCAATTCAGCGCATCACGTGGAAACATGTTTTCATTTTTTTTTTGTGTCAAACGATGTGGGGACTTTTAATTCGTTGAAAAGGGTTTTGTTAGTTACGGCCTTTTGTATTTCAGGTAACGAAATGTTCTCTATGGAACCAGTATTATCTTTTCCCAAAAAATCGATTTATGAATCATAATGGAAACACGGCTTTATCAATTAAGAGGAAATTGTTGTTGTCAAATACAACGAATGTTCTTTATTTACATACATATGTGCATTCCTTTATTTAGCTAGCTGTATAAATTTTATTAATAAATAAAGGCATTTAAGGGATCAATTAATTGAAGTTAATTTAGTCGGTGTCCGCAAAGCATAGCAATGGTTTCAAAGTAGCCCTCGGTGAGAACTGGGTTGGACACCACTGTCTAACAGCTTGTTTTTATACAAATTTGAGCACATGTTTACAACACTACAGCAAAATGCCAAGAAACCTATTTTCGCAATTTGGCAAACTCCAAATTGATTTTAGACCCATGGTTTCTTCGGCAAATTTGATTAGAATTATACGTAAAATCCTTCTGTGCTATACGCGCATAGTCGAAAAATTCTTCCATACAAATTGACCGCCCTAATGTATATACGTATTAAAAAAGAAAATTAACAAATCCGGAAAAATTACATTACAATTTTTAGGTAAGATTCCCTTTGAACAAAAATTAACTAAAAATATATGTACATACATAAGTACTAAGTGAGAGCTTATTCAGTTTAGACAGCGTCCTTTTCGTTAGTGCATTATTGCTTTAAAGCGTTTATTTCTGCTAAGAACTATAGGACAGTCGACAGTGGCAGAAACAATGGCTCTCATGAATAAAAAGTGAGCTTGAATCAGATTAAATTTTTTCACTGATTAAGTGAGTTCAAGCCCAAGAATTTGTACTGAAAATCGAGTCGCAGCTTAAGCTCAGTTTTTACGCTGAGACCTTATACCAAGCATAAAAGATACAGATAAGTAAATTCATGTATTGCCACAGGATAATTTTTCCTGGAAAACGGCATAAACCAGCCAAAGTTTCCTTTGCGTCGAACTCTCACTTTGTTTGTTAGATTGTTTGCAATAATCATTAGGGGTATTCTCTGAGTCTTGCAAAGCCCTTGCACGATGCACGGATTGCACGGTTTGCAAAGCTGTCCCATACGAAAACCGGTTTTTACCGTGCAATCCGTGCAATCTGTGCACCATGCAAGGGCTTTGCAAGACTCAGAGAATACCCCTATTATAAATGATTGTGTAAGCGAAGAGGACTAAAATATTTTCCGAATAATTAACAAAGTTATTTTTTTAGTGTTCCTCCAGCAAACGAGCGATACATAGTTATATATGTATGTACATATGGATGTAGCTTAACTTACTATGCAGCTAGTTTGATGAATTTTCTCAACAAGCCGACACGTTTACTCATGCTACTCGTTGACACGATTTCAGTTACAATCCAGTATTGTAATTCGTTGAAGCGGCGCAAAAATACATCCAAATTGGCGGTAATCTAACATAATAAAAAAGTCATGAAAATGTAACTAATTGGGACTTATTCGCTTGAAAGCGCCAAAGCGTTTCCATTTTATAACTGTTATCTTTGTAGAATGTTTTATGTAAATCTGTTAATACTTTTCATACAGTCTTCTTCAAGGTGTCTTCAAACAGTTGCGCTAGTACCGATGCGGTGCGCTCAAAATGCTCAAAAAAAAAATACATTACATTACAGCACTGATTCGTTCGAGGCCCCCTTTGCGTTTTATCGTTACCATATCAAACACGATGTCGTTGTGTACCGGTAGCACCGCATTTGTTTGAGGGTATCTTTACTTCACCACGTTATCGTTGTCTGAAAACGCATGTGGGTACGTTTATGTTGGCGCTACGATAAGAGCGACGAGGTATTGCTAAGCTAAGCGAAGAAAATGGTAAAATAGGTATCCCGTTCAAGAGTTTTTTGGGGGGGTATTTCTACGATAAAAGCCCAACAATAAGAGCTGAGACGAGATACCCATCTACCGTTTTTCCCCTTAGCAATCTTGGCTGAAAACTTATCGCAGTTCCAAAAAACCGTTAAAATTTTATCACCAGTTTATGTGCATTTAATATTTGAACAAATATTAGGGTGTCCGATTACAAAATCGGTTTTTAAGTTATTCGACAAATTGCAATTTGGAAAAACCCGTTTCCAGATTTTGAAATTAAGAAAAAACCATATAAACCGATTTTATTTTACATACGTTTTCTTACAGTGAAAATGCTCATGTTGGTATGAAGTCATGACCAAAATTACAATAAAACTATTAACAGTTAGGATAGCTTTTTTTTTTAGAAAAGAGCAAAGCTAAATTATTTCAAAGTTTATTTTAGATCAAAAGTAAAACAAATAAAAATCAGTGAACAATTCACGTTTAAGGTATTGGCCCAATTCAGGCTTGCTTCGCTTTGAGAACTGTCAAGAATTTTAAATATAGTAAAACGTATGAAGGCAGCTTTGCTTCGCTTGCTTTAAGTGCCTCAAAGTTTCAAATAGGAAAATGTTTTATTTAAAAGCGTTTTGTGGGCCTTTGACATATGATAAATGAATTTAAACAAACTGCCGCAGACTGTTCAAACAAAAATTTGCTTACTTAATTTAAAAAACGTTTAACATATCGCTAGCTTAGAGTAAAAATTTGCAAAGTCCACTTTTACAAACTTTACACGAGAGAAAAAACTTCTTTCTTCAATCAAATCCCTTGTTTTGAGTTATAATATTTTTTAGTAAATGTACATATGCACGTATACATACATATCTATGTATTTGTCATTATTATAACCCAGCGGCATGGTGCAATAAACAGGTGAAGTAATAAAACAGTTTCCTAGCTTTATTTTCTGACATTCGATAAGGCAGTGTCAAAATCTTTCTTCTCACTCTAATTGCTTCACCTGGTATAATTCCACCATGACCCAGTGGGAAAAGGTAATGTTTGGGAATGCAAAAAGTAATAGATAGTACCTATACGCTATGCCCGAAAAGATGCAAGAATTTCTCTACAGCGTTTTCATACGAAAGTAATGTGGCGCATGTTGCTTTAAGAAATAATAAATAGAATCTATAAAGCGAATTTTAAAATAAAAATTAAAATAAAGTCCGTACCACAGGTTTTGAACGCGTGACCAGCAAAACGGCAATCGAAGACAACTTGGAAAAAAAAAAACATACTTGAGTTAGATCTCAAACTTTTTGTTTTGTTTGTGGATTCAAAACTACACACCATCCGCTCCCTTACATTGCGATGCATCTTTTCGTTCAACTGTAGTTGTTAATCTTTTCTTGGTAGAAAAAGATAATGCATTCCCATTTTCCCACTAGGAATTTCTTTGAAATACAAACATTAATTCGCATTCATGTAAAAATAAATCTATATCTAATAAATTATTTAAATTTGTTTACTAATATTCTGGAATTTTCTAGGAAAATATTTCTGTATGTTAAAGGAACAGACCTTCGCTTTTTAACCACACATTGGCATTGGGCCAGCGCCTTTAGTCTTATTATAACTTTTTTAATATTTTTATTCAATTTTTCTGACTTTTTTCGCCGTAGCCGAGTGGTTAGTGGTGAATACTGCCACTCGGTAGGTCCATGGTTAATAAATCTGGGCCCAGCAACATCAACAAAGGTTCCTTCAAATAGCGGTCGCCCTCGGAAGACAATGGTAAGCCTCCGAGTGTACTTCTGCCATAAAAAAGCTTCTTCGGCACGAATTGAAGAAGTATCTCGGCCAAACACGTATAAAATATTTAAGCGGCAAACATTCCTTTCTCAAAATAACCTTGGACTCTTAGTAAAACTCAAAATATTTCTGAGAGGTCAAGATTTGCATGAAATAAAAAAAAAAAACCGATTTGTTTGATTCACAAATCCGGTTTATTCAATATTCGAAAAATCAAGGTTTCAAAAAACCGCCTATAGATATTTAAAATAACCGGTGGAAACCGGCTTGGAAAAACCGAGTCAATCACCCTAATAGATATGTATGAACACACATACACATGCACATTTATAGACATGTACTTACATATATTAGATCGTATTTTTCCAATCATGAACAATAATTTATACGCGCACTTACCTTTCCAAAGTGGTGCCTCCCAAATGTGTGATAGAGAAGTTCATACTCATGTACGGCCCAGAAGAGATCCCAATCGAAAAGTGTTATTTGGTAGGCTATTTCCTTGGTGCTTAATATTTCCAAATCGACATCCATGCCCTCTGTTGGAGCCTCTTGTTCGGGTAGAGGTGTCTATTAAGGAGGAAATATAATCTGACTTTATAAGTTCATTGTCATATTCGTAGTTTATGAAACGATGTAGATATATTAGGGTGGTCCTTTAATGTAGGAAGCAAATTTTTACATCAGAATTCCTAAGCCTCAACCCCTACACGTCGATGCTACTACAGTCGAAGATATCACATATAAATTTTGATCCCGATTGGAGACGGTTAAAACGTTATTGCATTATTGCATTTTATCGATTTCCGACGTATCTTTTTCAGAGCTAGCTACCCTATTATAAAAGGAATAAGAATCAACATTTTCACGTCAAAGTTTCAGTTGGTTGTGTTTGTATGGCCCTTTCAGTTGATTAAAAATTATTATTTTTAAGTGGAAAAATAAGACTAAATAATAATATTTATCTCTGAGCGAAAATATAAAACTCCTAAAATTTTCATTTAATTTATGTTGAACAAGTTATTAAAATTGAGCAATAATTATTATTTTTACGTGAAAAAATAAAAATCTTAAAATAATGGTTAAATGCTGATTTTAATTACTGTGCTTATAATTCCGATGGAAAACCCGCAACCTTCATTTGGTGATGCACCTTAATAAATATACATACATACATATGTACATACTTAAGTACATGTGTGTGTATAATTACCAAGGCATCCAAGTGATCCTTCACAGAAACGAAAAGCCGACCGTTCAGACTAAGGCCAGTAGGAATGCTGACATCGTTATCCTTGAAGACCGAGCGCTCTCCATTCGATTTGACTTCCACTAATATTAGATCTTCTGGTCCTCGATTTAACTGTAGCTTGTCGGCAGCGCAGGCTTTAATCAGCTCGGCGGTGGTGTGCAAAGGAAAACGTAATGTGCAATAGGTGTGGTCCGCGCAATATACTCGGAATATAACTGTAAATTAAAATCTTATCGATTTGCATGGCTATTTGTTTAAATGACTCACTGTCGTCATCAGGTCTTATAACGGTTTTTGATGGCGTGGCATTGCCACTGAATAAGCAAATGGGTTGGCCATTTGGCGGTAGCTTCCATTTCTGTCCGGCATTTTGGTTGCGGTCCTCCTGGTAGCGGGCCATTTGTGTTAAAACATTGTGTATGATACTCGTCTCCTCACTCAATTCTGAATCAGCCTCTATCTCAGCGGCCAAATCCTAATTGAATACATTTTTTCTGTTTAATATTAATAACAACCGGAAACGAATGAAATTTTTCCAACCTCAATAAAATCACAGACACTTGGCTCATCGAAAGCGGCATGCCGCACGGCCATCACCCATTTTTGCATGAACTGCACAACGCGCTTCTTGAAATTGATTATGTACTCCCGATCCTCGGGTGTTTGCGAGCCATCATTCGAATCACAATGAAAAGTGCAACGTGGTTAAGGAAGACTTATTTATGTATTTGTTATTATTTGTTATTATTGTGAGCTCCATCTAAACTTGACTTCGTTGTTGACAGTCAGGCGCGGCTATCAAAGCCTTGGGGTCGGCAACGACTAACTCGATATGCGTTAAAGAATGCCAAAGATCCCAAGACAAGCTCTACAGCAACACATAATCAATCTTTACTGGGTCCCCCGAGACATTGTGGTGTCCCGGAAAATGAGGAAGCGGACGAATGTGCTAGGAAGGGGTCTGAGGTGGGGCTCGGGGAGGCGATCCAAATCGTGAAACCCCCCCTGCGATTTTTGGTTTCAGAAGTCGAGAGACTGACTAGGGCAGCTACCAACAGTAGGTGGGAAAATCTGCACACCTGCAGGGTATCGCGATCGCTCTGGCCACGGCTCGATGAACGAAGAACAAGGAGTCTATTAGGACTTTCAAAGCCAAATGTCAGGCGTCTCGCAGGAATACTAACGGGACACTGGACCATTGGACACATGGCTGCCAGGCTCGGAGCCCCGCATAATGATTTCTGTAGAAGCTGCAGGGATGAGGAGGAGTTAAAATCCGTCCAGCACTTCCTTTGCGAGTGTCCAGCACTTCGAGGAAAACGCCTTAAATTTCTTGGGGGCCATTTCTTCGAGAACCTGGATATCTTGGGGAAAGCTCCTCTGGAAGCACTGCTGGGATTCGCAAGAAAATCAAAATGGTTCGAAGACATGTAGGGATAGGCTTGGGGTAACCCCCCATGGGCATCACAAGACTTAAAAAATGTTGAAAATTCCACTTTAGCCCCTCCTTCCCCTAGCGCCGCCCCTGTTAATTTGCACCAAATAAAATTATAGCATTAAAATCAGAAAAAAGGGCGGACGCCCTCTGCTTTTCCTTTTTTCTATACCTCACCGGCCCCTATTCTTTATTGTGCCGCAAAACTACATTGCTTATAATACCAGAAATTACTTCAAAACAGTGCCGCCAGGACCACAGCAACTGTTCTTATAAGGAATATATTGACACCATATTCACTTGTATGATAAGTGTCCTGGGTGTCGATGGATGGGTTCTGGCTTCTGGTAGCCCTACATATTTACTATGTTTGGAGGGAAGTAAACAAAAAAATCAAAAACGCTATCGATATTTTAACGACGAATGGATTTTAAACAAAGAATGAAGAAACAAAGATGACGAGTGTAAAAAGTATATTCGCCATTTATGTTTTTTTTTTTTTTGGAAGAAACTGCCTGGAAAGAAATTCCCAAAAATCAATACAATTACACTTTGTTTTACTAAAATGCCAACTTGTGTGAAAACATGCTTCGGCGAAAAAATTCTAAAAAAATCAACAGTAATTTTTAGCCATTTAAAAAATTTAATTCAAAATTGAATGGGCTATAAAATTGTGTACTCAAGAAAATTCTAAGACTTCTGAGAAAAAACCCTGAAATTTGGGTGAAAATTCGTAGCGTTTTTTTGTAGTGTTTTACAAACTTTTAAACTTGGGTTTATATGGCTTTTGGTAGAGAATGATGAATTGCATTTTAATTGAAAATTCCTAAAAATAAATAATTTAACAGGAGTGGCAAACAATATCACTTTGAAATAGCGGAGCTACTGATATGACCCATACTGTATACATATATATATATATATGTATATGTATGTGTGATTCTAATTGACATGTGTAGACGTGTTTGAATGTCATGTTTAGCTTTAAAAAAGGATATTAATTAGCCAATTCATCCACTAGTTGCACAACCGGCATGAAAACAATGTGAGTGAGCAAAAAATCGTCCAGAAAGGGATCCAAACCGCTGACTTGACCGCCAAGACGAGTTTCCAGCAAATGCTCCAATATCTTGGATGGTGTTCCCGACATGACCGTATATCTGTTGGAATAGAATAATAAAGAGAGTAAATTATGTGCACATACATAGATATGTACATATGTACATGTAAACATGATTGCAAGTGCGTAGATGAAAATAGAGGGGGCCGGGGGGTCGAGGATGGTTGTTTCAAAGTCTTTTCGATTGGGTATGCTACTGTGGTTAATTGGTGGATGAAATTATATTAGATTCAAGTCCGAAGGATTAAAATATGTTGCATGCCTTTATAATCGGAAGCATGTGTGCTGTCGTCCGCATGAACAAGCGTGAAACTATCGAATAGAGTTAATCCATTACGAATGTAAGGCGAGTGACATTGCTTACATTTTAATTATGAGTTGTGATTAGTTTTTAATAAAGGCTTTAGTGCGGCTCTAGTATACGTATGTACGTATGTATGTACCTAGTAGGATATAAGAATTGTAACCACCGTTTTTAATTTTTAGTTGCGACCCATGCTGTACTTGAACCAAAAAAAATGAACTTTGGAACAAAAAAAATGCCTCCTCGGGATAAAAAAACTTTAAGATCCGAATGTAAATGCTGAAGTTATGTCAAAATGGTAAAAAGGCGACCCCTAGGTTCGGCAAAAACAAAACAAAAAATATCGAAATCGCTTTGCAAAAATGCTTTAGACTCAGAGCGAACTTTTTTTCTTCTTGTAAGGTGGTGCGGTCTAATGGACGTACATATAGTATGTACATATGTATGTATGTATGGGTGAGATCAAGAACATACTTAAATGCGGAATGTTGTCCGCGCTGCTTGGCCACTCGCTCCAACACTAGTACATCCTTGCCATGTTCTTGTAGCCTCAAAGTGTTTGCCTCCACATCGCGCAAAATGCGATTGAAGTGTTCCTTATCGACGCGGAGTAGATGGCAATTGTTTTCCTTCAGGACAATCGTAGCAGCTCTACAAAAAAAAAAACAATAGAAATAAATTTTAATATTTCAGCTTATAAGAAAACGTATTTTAGTCAAGAACCAAAAAAAGAACAGTCCAAAAATTTAAACGGATTTCATGGAATAGAGTATATTCGATTAAGAATGTCCACGATTTAGCTTTACCTGATTCCACGATATGAGACGTTGTTTTTCATATCGGACACCAAATTTGGTGTCGATTGGCTTAACATTTTTTTATGGGTTCTATACGCGAAATAAGCTAACACGTATTCGAGGAAATTTTTTTAATTTTTTTTTTTTCTTCGGAGATATGATCTGTCAAAGTTTGCATTTGTTCGTGATTCTGACTAATCAGGTACTTCTTCAAATCGTTATATCTCGGGTTCTGCTCATCGTACAGATGTCATCTCAACGTCGATTTAAAGCTAAAGAAACGGGCTTAACATTCCTGTATATAAGATGGTCAAGATTGCCCTAAAGCTAACTTAGCTATTAACAGTTGAACTTTTTGAAGTTGATTCGCATAGTGAAGACCAGTAAATTAGGGATTTAAAATTATACCATGGCAATTTTTATTTAATTCTCTATAAAAAAACGTGGTTAAAAAATGGGGCTTTTTCAAGAACTATTTTTTTAATATTTTTCTTTATGACGAGATGGTTTATTTTGTGGGAATCAACAATTATTTGTCATTTCTTTTCGAAAATTTACGTTAAGATATACATATTTGGTAAGGTATTAAAGCCCGATGTTTTGCAAAAAAGTAAAATTTTATTGCGGCTCCCGATAGAATACCTATCCAAATATATACATATATATACAAAACGCAGATTTTATTGCGGATTTCGGCAGAATATCGCTTCATTAACAACATTTGTTCCACAACTTTTTCAATCAAAGAATATTCTAGAAATGGGCGTGGCTATATTAAAACCAAAGTTAAAAAAAAATTTAGTCTTTCTTGTGGATTTCGCCAGAATATCTATATGAATTGAAAACAACAACAACCAAAAAGGAAAAATTTAAGTATGGCCCAGCTGCGGCATCACTAAGGTAACCATTCGTAACGGTTTTGGCGGGACAGTACCGATTTTAAGAAAATTGTTCTGCTGAATATTTTTTAAAAGTCGGGACGTATAAGTCATATTTGTACCGCTTTAGTCCCGATTTTCAGTGTTTTCTATATTCATTTATTAAGACTCTCCCTGTACCGTGGCCTAAAAATAATTTTTCGTACAAATGAGGCAGCACTTTCGTTATCACAAAGGACATAGAATATAAGTGAGCCATAAACATAGCCGGCATCCTTATTAACAATATAATAATATAATTAATGAAATTATAAAAATTAATTTAATGTTTATTCCTTTTTATGAAAGTGTGGCAAGTGATTACAAAGTAAAACCTTACAGCTAGAGCATAATAATTTCAAGGTTTTGTGATTTTTATTGAAAAGCAGGGTTGGAATCATATAAAATAGTAGGTAAAAGAAAAAAAGACCGTAGATAGAGACTTGAAATACAAATTGGCACATCTCTTTTGGCATATATTTTGTGTTATTATTCTTTTAAATGCAATGAGTTTTGAATATTTCGTGTCTTGACGTCAAGACTGTTCCAAAAACGGACTGCAAAGACAAAAAACTGACGTTCAGATACTGAAGAGTTAAATTTTGTGTGTAGTAGTCGATGCGATCTGGCTGATGGAATATTAAGCAATCTGTTCTTTAAATAAGACGGTTCGTTTGTAACAAGAATGAACCGAATTGCCGAAAATATTTTTCGACAGGGTTGCCAGCTGTTTGAAAATTTGTATTAATATAAATTGACAAAATAAATGAAATATTACAATACGCATATCAAACATCACAAAAATACTTTTAAAGCGCAGTGAAGCCCAGCGGGTATTTGCTAGTTCTGGAATGAAAGCTGCTGATCTGAATAAAAGCTGCTACTCTGAATCGCAGTTGCGCCATCTATATTTAGCAAATGATATCGACATCGTCGGCCTGAAGCTGAGGAACGTCACCACAGCAAAAGAGGCTAAAGAGGTTGGTCTAGCGGTGAATGAGGACAAGACAAAGTGCTTACTGAAACATATAAAGATCTATTGAAGAAGTGAAATACGCTCAGCCGGTATACCGTCGGCCCAAGGGGTCATTGTTGTTCTTAAGCTGCCTTATTGCTGTTCTCATCCCGTATTGGTCGAGTACAGTGACGTGAGCTTCATCCCTATATATAGGCTAGGGTTCTCCTTCAGCAAGAGCGCCACCTTTATCGCCATTCAAAAGCATTGAGAAGTGTTCCCTCTCAAGTGTACTCTGAACATCTATTACATTTTATCTTTTCGGTCTTAAATAACTTAGAAAACATAGTAGAAAAGAAATTCAGAAGAAAATTTTAAGTGCCAAGACCTTTGGGTTGAACTTGGTTCCAAAAAAATTTTATAATTATTCGTTAAAAAGCTAAGTAAAGTTTTTCTTTACTTAATTTTGATGCTCATTAAGTATCGTTAATGAATCGTTAACGGACTCTGAGAGGGCATTTTTTGCAAAACGTTACTGAGCAACACCTTAAGTAGATAATCACTAAACGACTCTAGAATTAAATTTTTGTTTTAACGAATTTCACCATCCTATAAAATATATGGGGAAAAAAAAAATATATATAACGTGTTTAATCTTCCTTTCACTTACCTGGGCGCGTCGTTTATTAAAGCGAGTTTACCAAAATCATCACCAGTCTTAAGAGTTGCCACAGTGCCTTTGCCATGTATCACAACATCCACTGAGCCTTTGAGCAAAATATACCAGGATCGACCTTCGTCGCCCTGATTAAATACTGTGATTTTTTCGAGTCAGGCATTCAGACAATCATCATGGTTGTGATTCGAGTTACGAAATCATTCAGTCAGGCCCATATCGTTGTTGGAGAAAAAACAGGTTAATTTCAATAATGATCGAAGCAGAAAAAGAAAAAAATTTGAAAAAAATATAAGCCAATATATCGTCACCCAAGAGTGAAAAATCGATGTAGTTTCGCATTACCTGCCAATCTGCATCAAAAACTAAATGTTGAAATAAAATGGAATTG